GCCCACCATGTTGTTATTTTAATGGTGGTACCTGCATTGGTTACGCAATACAGGTTAAATACCTCCTATCAAAATATAGACCTGACTCTCGATCCTTCCGATATCTACCTGAACCGATACTATCATTAGGGAGTCCCTCCCCTCAAATTTAGTCCCAGACCGTTATCGTAAGGCCCGCTGCCTGGTTATACTTGGTCAGTAGCCCACGCTGGGAGTTACGTCCCAACGATGTCAATTTTCCACCATAGGCTTGGTAATTTTTAGTCCCTCAGACTGACTTCCATAAGTGGATGAGCGATGATCATTTAAAAATATACACATGAAAATCAATTTGACCGATTAATTTTTCTCCCCTTGTCTGTTGTCTTTGAATGGGTGAACAACCCCATTGAATGTATATATGAAATAATACAATTTCAGAAATAAGAAATGATTTAACATAATTGTCATTTTTGTCTCAGATAGAGGGGCATCGTCAGAGCCACTTATTGGCCGTGTCTCCCAGACCTCGATCACAGGCTGGACAGACACACGTCTCGGGGATCTTTTTCCAATAAAAAAGTCAACCAAAATATCCATAAAGAAAGTATAAAAAGTATTTGCTTGACCCCTCGTCTTGTCAGAAGGCATAAAAAACAATCATTCTATTCATAACATATATTTCCTTGATTCGCAGGTTTTTTCAAATGCATCATAATTTTGACTTTTCCATACCCCGTTCTAGGGTCTCTTTCAATAATAACCATATAAACAGGGCATGAAAATGAATGATCATCAATGCAAAGCACTTTTCAAATTGTACAAATCACACTTTATTTTGTCATTCTTGAATATTTAGGTTCTTTCATGAGCATCCTAGTTCAAGATTTGACAGCACACCCGACCTTCCCCATGAAGATATATATCTCATCCATTAACATCAGATATTGGACCATTGTAATTATGAAAGTAAAAAGTAGTCACGTTCCCCACAGATATACCTCGTAAATACTTAGGACAAAAAAACTCAACTGAATACAAAGTATAAGTCCAAACCAAATCCAAACTAAGGCACAGAGCCCCATGACAAAAATGAATCACATGTCTCATCTACCCTCAACTACTACAGTACAAATGTCGAGTTGAAAAAACATACATGATATTACAAAATCTCATAAACCTAACATTTGCGGATTATTAAAGCATACACTTTCTCTACCCTCCATTACTAATATACAATGTTTTTTTTCTGGAGAAAAGAAAAACAGAGGAATCATGGCTCACATACTAAAAAGAGGTCTCAGAATTGCTTCACTCTAATCCTCTAAGGTGAGTCTCAACTGCTTATATAATGGGACTCTGAACCCTTCTTTGGTCCTTTTAATCAGATTTCTCTTTCTATCGATGAGTCTGTTGTTCTCATCGAGGCTAACCAACCTCTTTGTCCTATTTGTCATAAATCCGGGACAGTCATCTCTCTTGTCGATTCCCTTCATAAAATACCAATACAACTTATTTTCCTCCTCCTTTGTCCTCTTCGCAGATGATGGAAGATCCTGAGATGCTGCCCCGATCAACATTTCCAGATAAGATCTTTTTTTATCCTGTCCCATGCCATTTACAGTCAGCGAGGATTTTTCAACATTCTCATCAGGCGAGGTGACATTTCCAACCATTACTCTGAGTCCTTTATCTTTTTTATCACTAAGTTCCCCCATTTCTCTTTTCTGCCTTGGATTTTCCTCTCTGTCTTCAACCTTTTTAATGTCTCTTGCTTCGACCTTCTCCTGAATGTCCACTTTGGATTTTTTCAATGTCTCTTCCACCTCTTTCCATTTCTTTTCCCATTTCTCACTCTCCTACTTCCTTTCACTCTTTTCCGACTCAATCACCTTACCTTGCTCACTGACTTTTGCCTCTAACTTACCATCTTCTCTTTCCAACCTTTTTCTTTTCATTTTCCCTGTCTCCACCTCCTTACTCTTGTTGTCAAGGGTTGTGCTTAGTGCCTCCACCTTCACTTCCAACTTCCCCCGTTCAATCTTTGTCTTTTCTATCTCAGCTTTCAAACTTTCCACTTCCTTCTCCATTCTTGTCCACTGCATATCCTTTTTCTCTTCCCTTGCTCTTAATCTTTGAATCTCCTTCAAAATTTCAGGAACATGGCTTGCCACCCCTTGCGTGAGCAATTCTGTCTTCTCCCTTATCCTGTCTTGGAGTTTCTGAATGGGGATCTCCAATTCCCTTCTCTTTCCTTCCTCCATCTTTTCCAACTTATCGGCCACTTCAGCTTCCCCTTCATGGAACCATTCACAATCTTCCCTGAGCATTTCATGTAAACGGATTAACAGGTTTACATCAGAAGTCAATTTGGAACTGACCACAATCTTAGAGAGTAGTATCTTTTCTAGTTTCAGGCTCCAGGGCGCGTCTGAAGCAACTTCTTTTCTTTTAACAAGGTCACAGCTTGATTCCTCCATTCCTTGTTGTTTTCCTCTCTCTTCTGCCTCTCTTCCTCTGTCAATCTCGTTGAACCTTGTTCCTTTGGAGGTTTCCCCGAGGTAGCTGTTTCAACATTTTCTGACGGTCCAGCATCTTCGACTTTCTTCTCATCTTTTTCCTTTCCTTTTCCTTCTTTCATTTTCTCTCCTCCCTTCTTCACCTTTCGAGGCATGCCACTGCCTTCCATTTCATTCTCGATGCGCTCCTCCATTGAGCCACTTCCACCTTGAGCCCTGGCCTCGTCAACCTCCTATTGAGGAGATGTGTCGCCTCCTTTATTATTTTTTTAAGCTTTTTTCCCATCCTTTCTTCTCTCTTGACAATCCACAATCCCTGTTCCTGAAGTAGTTGTTTCTTCTTTTGTTGTTGTACCTCCAAGGGATAAGCCTTTCTCATCTTGACAAGGAAACCTCCCCAGATATTCGATTCCTCCCTGACCTTTTTCACTGCCTCATATTCCCTTGACGCTATTTTCTTTATCGCTTGTTCTAACTTCTTCTTCTCACCCCACCTTTTTTTTTCTGCACAAAGGTTGATACTGTCCTCAAAGTCCTCCAAGTTTGTACCATCGAGGATGACATCATCTTCGATCTCATCTCTTGTCAAATCACCATACTTAGCCCACATTTCAGCCTTAAAGGTCATCCACCCCAGATAGTCGGAGGCAATCTCATCTATCACCTCGTTGCACTCTCCCAATCCTGCCACCTTCTGCAACATGACCTAAGTGTCTCACTCCCTATTGAAGGCATATTCTTCAAACTCCCTTATGAATACCCTCAAATTGTCCCAGACTTTTTTTTGTAGATCGACATCCCTTGGGAATCCTTTGTTACCTGCTGCATCCTCTTTCGTCCTTCTCTCCCAGGAGTTGTCCTCGAAGGACCCGCCACCCCTCCCTTCTGTGACGTGGCTGCCTGCTTCACGGGTCACGCCTGCACACAAAAAAAGAAAAGGGAGTGGCAGATAACAGGCCGAGTCAGCAGTCGGTTAACAATATAATATTCACAAAGGAAATGCCATAACAAGTTCCTACAAGATCATCAGGTTTTTCCTTTCCAACTTTTATCAACTCACCTCTTGTCTCATCTTAAATTTCTTCAGCCTAGATCCTGAAATCCAATCTTTCCTTGGTGTTCCATCCATTTCTTCAAGCTTATGGGCTTCATGATTTCCTCGGCGTCTGACTCTGAAGGGTCCCAACCATCTTTGGTACAGTTTCCTTGACCATTGTTTTTCAAGTGCGGAGTCATACAATGACACTATATCTCTGATCTCCAATAGTTCTTCTTGTATGCGCGAAGATTTATCCCATCTTTTTCTGTCCTTCCCACGACTGTCAGCCACTCTCTCCGCCGCTTCCTGAATCCTTTCTTCTGTGATACTGACTTGCCTAGCTCTAATGTCAAGTAACTCCTCAAGAGGTAGGTCATTCTCAAGATCCTGTCTTCGCCAAGTCTTCAAGAAACTTTCTATCGTAAAAGTGGCGTGTCTTCCATACCACAAGGTTGCAGGGGCATAACCTGTGGTTTTCGTGACCGTGATGTTCTCGACAAAGAACACTGTTCGCAGGAACTTCGGCCACAGGGTTGGCTTCCCAACTGTCCACTTTGCCAGCAAATTAGTGATAGTACTGTGTCTCCTTTCAACAGGTGCATTTGCCTGAGGATGTACCCTGGTCGTATACTTGGCAATAACTCCAAGATCGTCCAGCAGTTCCTTCACTTCTCTACACGTAAACTCAGATCCCCTGTCCATTGTAAACTCCACCACCAAAGGATATCGGAGGTAATACTCTTTGATGCATTCGGTCAAGACTGCTCCAGTCTTGGTCCGGATGACCTTTCCATCAACAAATCCTGTAAGATTATCTTGGACATCAAAGATATAATTATAACTTTCAAGTCCCAATATCATTGCTAGGAGATCCAGGTGGATCACTGCCCCTACATCCTTCATATACCTTGGATGTGGAGGTTCCTTGTATCTGATTGGTGACCTGATTTGGCAATGGACGCACGACTTGCAGTACTTTCGAATCATCCCGTACATACCCTCCAAAAAGTACAGTTCGGTCACCTTCTTGATGGTAGTGACAAAATCCTTGTGACCACCTACAGGTCCGTCATGAAGAGCTGCGATGACATCGATTTGCCGATTCCTGTCACAAATGACTCTCCTGGGAGGTCCTCTTTTATCCCTGATGAAGAGATGGTCTCCCCTCAGTATGTAGTGATCTCTCATACGAAGATTTTTTTCACTAACATCCCTTTCTCGCTTATCCCTGGAGAGAAGAAGTCGCATTTCTAGGTGAAATCCGTCATATTCCTCTTCCCGGAAATCTTTTGAGATCTCACCTTGTTCAAACTCTTCTCCTTTCATCTCTTCATCAAACTCGAGATCATCCTCCAGCACTATCTCGTCTGCCTTTACTATCTCTCCTTCATTCTCAGTCTGAACTTGCAGGAGTGAGTTGACAAGATAGTGCACTCTCCCCATCGTCAGCACATGCTGATCTACCTGCCTTGTTCCAGCCTCAATTGTTACTGGATCATCATTCAATCGGTAAGTCTCTGCCAAAGTCAATTCCTCCATCAATTCTTCATTCCTTTCTCCTAATAGGTCTTCTTCAACGAAAGGTTTTAACACTAGTCCTTCGATTTTTACAAAAGTTGTTGATGCAAACCACATGGACTTCCCTCTTCTTGCCTTCTTATCATTAACACTTAGTGTCTACGAATTTACATGAAGCTGCATATCATATTCATCCAGAAATCCATCTACTGGCGGTGTTTCTTCCTTGGCATCTCCAGGCTTCTCTCAATCTATCCTGCTTAACCTATCAGCCATGTTCTTGTTCCCTGAAATATGTTCCAACTGAAAATCGAACACCAGATGTACGTGAGCCACCTCGCGATTGTAGGATCCGTGGGTGAAAAATTCTTGAGGGAATACACAAGGGCGGTCGGATATATTCTCAGGACAAACCTTCTCCCATAGAGATAGTGCCTAGAGATACGCAGGCAGAGCAGCACGGCCAAAGCCTCCTTTTTGAATTGAGAGTAGTTCCGCTTAGTAGCATTGAGGGTTCGACTCTTAAAACGCAAAGTTTTTTTCTTTCCTTCAAGGTCTGAGTGTATTAGAACTCCTCCCAAAGCGGTGGGTCAAGCATCAGTCTCTATGATAAAGGGCCGCTCTGTAACAGCTTTATAGTCAGGGGGCCCCAACACAAGACCTCCTTCCTCAAATTCCTTCTTCAAACATTTCCGCACTTGTTCTTATTTCTCTCCCCATTCCCATTCCTGATTCTTTCTTACCAACCTCCTTACATGTTCCGTTTTAGCAGCAAACCTTTCGATGAAAATTCTCCAGAATCCACACGTTCCAAGAAAAYACCTTACTTCGCWRACGTTTSWRAACGRCGTAGGCCACTCAAGGATTTTGTTTGTTTTCCYGGTGTCTGGACGACGACCTTGCTCATTGCATACAAAGCCCAATATAGTGGCCTCTCTCATGCAATGTCTGGATTTAGCTCCACTCGTCGTAAGGTTATACTCTTGTAACAAATCAARCAYCTTYYTGAGATCATTGGCATGATCCCAGACAAACTTCCTTACGTCAGGCGCAACCTCTCGCTCATCTTTCACCATCGGGCCTTTTACAGCAAGATCATCAATGTACGGTTCAGTAATCTATGGACGGATTGACTGCATAACTCTCACCATACTCCTTTGCACCATGGCTACCGCGTTTGTTCATCCTTGGGGTGCCACATTCATGTGAATCAATCCCCTTGGAGTATGCATTGTCGTTATCGGCCTATCGGCCGGGTACACTGAGAACTGGTCGTAACCAGAGTACAAGTCTATGAGCGAGATAATAGAMCTTCCAGCAMAGACTTCAGAGAGCTGATCAGCGTTAGGAAGCCTTCCAGCACCCCTAACCGTCACAGCGTTCAACCTTTGCAAATCTTGCACCCACCTGAGTACTCCATTTGGCTTGATGAAGCAGAACCATGGTGAGGCATAAGGTTCACTAGAAAACCCTGCTACGTGAGAGTCAATCTTTCCGTCAAGGTATTCTACTACCCTTCTCTGATCATCAGGATTTGGGTACCTGACTCCTCTAATATTCCAAGGTTGATGTGGGACTGTGTGGATCCGGATCATCCCTATCTNCTCTGATCATCAGGATTTGGGTACCTGACTCCTCTAATATTCCAAGGTTGATGTGGGACTGTGTGGATCCGGATCATCCCTATCTTGTCCACATCTAACTTTCCTCTCTGCTCATCGTTGAAGGCATAGGCGCAATGCTTATCCTTCATTAAGTCAATTACCAATGCCTTTTCCTCCTGGGTCAAGAACTCAGGTTCCCCAATGATCAAATCTTTCTCAGTCTCTTTGTTAATACGACAGGATTCTGCTCCCCATTTATCTTTCATTTGCCTAATCAGTTCTCTTTCCTGCTCATAGTACACTCTTTTTCATGCGTTACTAAGACAAGGACAGGGTGATTTTTTTTGTCTACCGTCTTGTACCTCTATTTTCCCCCTAAATGAGCCCACCCCTAAAAAGTGCTGATTGCAGGTTTGGGCATACGGTCCCTGCACTTTCTCCTCTCGAGGAGGCGGTCTATATACCAATTTCATCCTTCCTCCTTCAGGGTAATCATATAGTTTGTCAGCCAGTGCTCGAATTACTTCAGTCTCCGCCATATCATAAACGGATACCATGTACATTGCTTGATCGATGTTGGTCAGACTTAATGTTAATCCTTCACTTTCTTGTTCCTCATCTTCCTCATCAGACCCCCATTCTAATTTTTTTCTCTTATTTTCAGACTCCTCAAAAGTATATGACCCAACTCTGAGTCGGTTCTTCGAGCTATGAGGGCCTGTATTTTTACAGGTAATAACCTCGAAGTTACCACAGGCAGGGTCACACAGGATCACGAACATAGTACCATCATGCTTGTTCATGATGAGGGCCTCTGATCGTGATAAGAAGGACCTTCCTAGTTATATAGGAAGATCTAAGCTAGGCATGATGTAGAAGCAGGAGTGGACCCTAACGCTTCCTATTTCCACGATTACATTTGAGGCAATACCTGTGTATCTTGACTTTCCTCTAGCCCCATTAAGGTATCCACAATCTCTCTTGTCGATCTCCAACCCTAACTTCTCAGCGGTTTCAGAATTCATGATGTTCAACTCTGCTCCTGTATCCACCATCCCAGGGCATCCTTTCCCTCTAATATTAACGTTTATGGATCCTATCCCCACAAATTTCCAGTCCATTTTACTCCCAGCTACTGTTCAGTTTTCCTCTTTGGGAATTAGATCTCCCAACCTCAATGTCGCTACTCTCTTTCGTGCCACAGTTTCGCTTTTATTAACTCTCTGAGCTTGGGTGAAATTGCCAAAAAAAATTTTCAGGTTCAGCAACTCATTATGTCCCTCAAGAAGCTTGCTCACCAAGTTTTCTAGGTCTACTCCCTCTTCAATCGACGTCTGGTAATTTCATTTTTTCTTTGACTTCTCCCTAGTCTTTTCCTTTCCTCCTTTAACATCATGCTTCCATTTCTTAGCCTTCTGCTCAGCTTGTTTGTCCTCTTCTTCCCTAGGTAACTCATCTTGTTCCTCCTCTTCTTCTTCCTCTATTTCGATAGAAGTTCCCCCTTGAGATGGCACAGGAGTCTAGGTGGGTTCCTTGGGCGCATTTCCTCCTTTAGGCTTCCGTGTCGTATGAGGAATAAATTTTCTCAGAGCCTGATAGGCGGCTTCCGACTCAGCAGCCAGAGTGACTCTCAATGCCTTGGGGTTAGGAGCTCTCAGTTCATCATCCTCCTTCCCCTGACCCATCGTGAATACATGTGGCAATCTCATTTCTAGATTCCTCACCTCCTCGCAAATATCAGCCATCCTTATATTTAACCTACTCATCTTATCTATCATGTCTTTCATTCTCCCCGAAGTTTCTCTTGCTGACGCTGTGATTACATTGTCTTCATCTGGCTCAACTTCTACCAGTGGTGTATCTTTTTTTTCTTCACCTATCTTTACCCCTTTCAATTGGTCACTCAGTTCATCAACTTCTTCTACCCAAACAAAAGGATCTTCTTTCTCTTGCCATTTACGAAACATGGCTGGGGCGCTGGGTCCAAGCCCTACAATCCTGATTGCCTCTTTCCTTGTGTCACCGGGGTTGTTTGGGTCAATCTTATTCCCTCGCTTATTGAACACATCCCCATTGATACTTGACGTGATCAATCCGTCCTGCTCATCCATCCTTCTAACATGACACCTTACAGTATGTCCCTTTATCGTGCAGTGCATACATATGCACTCGCTGTAGTCTATCCAACCTCGCCCGGTCCCTTGACCACCCCATTGCCGATCATTTCTTCCAAATCCCCTACCATAGTTCTGGTTATAGCCTTGACCATAGCCCTGGCCATAACCCTGACCATAACCCTGGTTGTAACCTTGTCCAATTTAATTAAAGCTCACCGGATTGTAGTTTCCAGCCTGATTTCCTTCTTGGTTTCCCCAATTCCCACCTTGTCCACCATTTCCTCTTCCTCCGAATCCTCTTCCTCCATGGCTATTTCCTCTTCCTCCATTTCTACCCTCATCGTATCCTTGGCCATGTCCTTGTCCCTGAAATTGGTTATGAACTTGATTACCTTGTGGTGGCAGAGCGTGCTGAGGCTGACCCCCATCTGCTCTTCGCCCTTGTGATGGTCCTTCCCCAACTTTCTGAGCGTGGGGCAGGTTTGGATACATACCAATTTGACCGAAACCCGACCACTAACTGCCGGGGTAGTAGCCAGGCCAGACCCCCACAGGAGCCACCACCGGCCAAGGCCCAAATTGAGATGTCGGGATTGGTGCCCCTGGGACATTCGGTGTCACAGTTTGCTGCGAGCTCTGCCCTTTTCTTGCTCCTTGCTTCCTTGACGCCTGGTTTTGGTTCTGCTTTTGGGCTTTCTTAGACTGTGTTATCACCTCAGGTTTCGTTTCTCCCTTATTCCCTTCATTTTCCTCTTCATACCTTCTCTTGTTTGTCACTTGTTCGACCGNTCCCTTATTCCCTTCATTTTCCTCTTCATACCTTCTCTTGTTTGTCACTTGTTCGACCGCCATCACTTTTTCCGACTCCACCTTATCTTTCAACTTTTTGAGTTGAGTTACCATACTACTCAACACCCCTCCTAGGGCAGAGTTTGCCCTTTGGACGACCCCTATCTCCTTTCTTTTCTTCCTTTCCATTTTCACTTGGTTGTGGAATACCTGGTCCAGATCTCCAGATGCCAAGTTTCTTTTTATCGTTTCCCATGACATCTTTCTCCCCAGTGCTCCTCCCCGGGTCAACTCCATAGTCTCATAGCCTGAGAATTTTTCCAGAAAAATGACATATTGCATTTCCTCAGAAAATTCTGGAACCCGTTCTGCTTTTTTTCGAAAGTTGTCGCAAATGCTTCTATCGTGGTGAAGTCGTTTTTGTTGATGTTATAAAGCTGGTCGATTGTCAACAACCCATCTCCCAGTTTGTACTTTCTTTTCGTTTCCTTCTTGAATCTGTTTCAATTTCCTTGGGCATCGGCCACAATCTTTTCAACGTCGGGGCGATATTCCCACCAAACGTATTCAAACAATTGGGCAAATTTCTTCGCCGGCGTCAGTCGGTTGAAGACTTGTTCCAGCAATTCAAGCCAGTGCGATACACGTTCTCCTTAGGAGGGAAAATTATTTTTATCCGGGGTAGCTGAGACCTCCTAACACTTCTATTATCCAGCAACCGTGCGATTTCGGCCGCGGTTATGGACCCTTGTCCTCCTGTCCCATTAGCGTCTCCCATTTTTTTCGAAGTTCTTAATAAATCTGTTTTGCACAGGTAAAAACGATGGATTTTCATATTATTTTCGGTCGTCTCACTCTTTCTTTTTTTTAACTTTTCCCTTTTATCCAAGATATCATTTAAGACTCTCTGCACCTACATTTCTAGTTTACCCCTAATGACTCCCTACCCCTTTCTTTCTCATCAACCGACACTCACTAACCTTCCTAGTCTTATGTGCCCATAACTAGCATCCCTACTTTCTCTGTTATTTTAAGACCAAATGAGATTGGTTCCAGTCATCTTCCCATATCCTTTTACCCCTCCATCCTTCCCATTTCTTTTGCGCACATCCAGTCGCCTGTCCACGAGTCATACATCATCCCAAACATTATCGGGATACCATCAATACATGCCTTGATTTTTAGTTATGCCCTAAGCTTCTTCCAATACGTCTGTCTTGGTTCCATGAAATGAACGCGAACATAAAAATCAACCGTGGATAGGACTTCCTCGAAATCCCTACCAGCCAATTCCGACCCCATCTCCAAATATAAGCAGTAGAGGGTATGAGGTGTGAAAAATTTGCATTCTCCTTGAGGAGCTGCTTGGGCTGCCAAGGTCGCTTGTTCTACGTTCACGTGTCCCTTGAAGACTTCATCAATGATGAAGTCCGGAAGAGTAGCTATTATATAATCGGTGGGGTACACGAAATCAGATGCCCATTTTGCTTCTATTATTGGTATGACCGACATGAACTCCCCCCTGCTTGTTTCTCGGATTTTGTCCTCAAGAATCGCACCGGTGATTAGGATGTATCGTGATAGGGGCTGACTATACCCTACCTCCAGATCTACTCCATGCATCCTCCACAGATGTGATGAAAGATACAACGTTGCCCGTACTGTTATACTTTCCTGATTGATAGCGTGCCCAATTTCANCCAGATCTACTCCATGCATCCTCCACAGATGTGATGAAAGATACAACGTTGCCCGTACTGTTATACTTTCCTGATTGATAGCGTGCCCAATTTCAACCCATACAAATGCTTCAGGCCCGATCGTGGTGCCCCACCATGCGGTGATCTCCTCCTCTCTTTCACTAAGGCATCTAGGTAGAGACATTCTCAACCCTTGTTCCGTACGAACGGGGAGCTCAACCCCAAATCCCTGACTGACATACGCCATCTTTGGGCGATCTCCAGTGGCCTGAGCGATACAAAAGGAGGGACAAAAGGCACATAGTACTTGTACGTAAGTCCTATTTAGTACTGACATATTCTCTTTCTATATTTTTCTTTTCTTATGCCGCTCTAAGATATGAACGTTTTAACATAAATCCTCTTATTTCTTCATGTCCTACCCTCGTCTTCTCTTAGTATATTTATCCCTTCTTCCTCTTCAATCAACTTAACAACAAGCAAACTGCTTCCCTTCAGTTTCTACTTTTTTTTCTTATCGCCTCTAATGCTCTTTTATCTTCTCGGCGTCTCTCCCTGTCATTCTTAGAATACAAATCCTCTCTCTTCTTCTTCCATTTCACTTGCCGTTACCCAATCCCCAGACCAGAAGTTATAGACCAAGTCAAATATGGCGGGATTACCATCCACGCAGACTCCCGAGCTTACTTCCTCTTTCAACTTCTCCCAATACCCAAGCCTTTCTTTCATAAAATAAGTTCGGGCATATGAGTCTACGATGGACAAAACGTTGCTTAAATCACTTTCGGCAAGTTCGGGGCCCATCTCCAGGTATAAGCAGTAAATCATATGAGGTGTAGAGAAGTCGTACCCTCTATTAGGTACTTTAAGTGCGGCTTCAGCGACCAATTCTACTCTTGCCTGACCATTAAACGCCTCATTGATAATGAAATCAGGGAGTGTGGTTCTGATGTAGCGGATCGGAAGAATGAAGTCTTCGGTCGGACGCACTTTAACTTCCCTCCTAATTTCTCCTTCTTCCTTCCATTGACTCCTTTGGATCCAGACGTTGACTGCAGTTTCCGCTATCGTGGTAAGTTGTAGTAGATATTCTCCTCCCCCTCGACTGAGATCCATTTCATGACCATGCCAGAGACGGGTGGATAGATAGACGATGACTCTCACATTACTGAATTCTTTTATCGTATCCCAACTCTTTTCTACCCACATAAATGCCTCACTTTCTAGCGAGTGGCCCCACCATGTCTTGCAAAGTTCCGCTCTGCCTTTCCCTTTTGGCAGTGTCATTTCTAACCCATTATTGTTCCTAATAGGTGCCTCGACCCTAAAAACCTGCTCTGCGTAAGGCATCTTGATCGGATCCAGAAGACCTTTTTTTGCGACCTGTCAAAAAGGCAAGCCAGAGACAACTATTTTAATGTACTGCTTCAACCATTAACTTCTGGGTGCCCTTACTACGGAATAACCCGACTTTCTATCATTAATCAAAGATCTTTATTAAAACAAGAATTCCTCCTGTATTCCCAGGCACACCCCTTGACTCTTTAGTTTCTCCCGGCCTGATCTAAGTAAGGATCATGAGAGTCCAAATTACATTTCCTCATTCCTAGATACTTTTCTCTTTTTCAACTTAGATGGATTTCCTCACTCATCACTTTTAGTCAGCAATAAGAGAAACCCTTGGCCTCATCGTACCCTAATCTCCTCCTTTCGAGGTGGTCCTTAGATAATCCCTTTATATATCAGGTATGAGATCAACCCGCAC